CTTTATTATTTTCTAATTTTTAATCATTTAAAATCAACAATTTCTCACTAAATCCATGTTTCTTTTCATTTAAACTTCTTCTACTGCAGATAGTCATGTTGCTGATATACGAATGCAGAAAGGTTCTGCTTCTGTTTCAGGATAAATGTTTTACTTTGCCACCTATTCGAGGCTTCCTAAAGCCCAGAATTAGCTACCCAGGCTGCAGAAATTCCTTCTCTTATCCCTCGCTGACAGCCCCAAGCTAAACTAAACGATCTACCAATGCAAATGGCCATCATTGTTGTGAGAAAGAAATGCGGTGTGGAAAAGGCCGTTCCCTCCACCCGTTTCCCCTTCAGGCCGCTGTGCCACTGCTGGGTGACCGCCGAGCAGCTACTGAGGAATTAGCAGGATTTGCAGCAGGATTAATATCTCCTTCTCCGGGCGTTCCGAGACAGCAACCGGGACACTTTGGATGTTTGGTATAATTCAACCTTTTGGCTAGTTGACGTGTAAGCTCCATCAATTACCTAAATCATGTATGTTGGTTTTACTCCACCGGAAAGTAAAAGCAGTCAAACGTCATGTTGAAACACAGAACTATGTTCATAAAGCAAATTTGATGGGATTAATTAGCCCAAAAGCAGGGGTGGTTCTAGGGGCAGTCAGGGTGGGCCGATGCCACCCTGAGAACAAGCTTGGCCCCCTCGTGTCCCCCCTGCTGAAAGCAGAGTCTAACCAATAAGTAGATTTTTTTTTTGTGATAATTTTGTTTAAATGAGGTGCTGAGACAATATAAATAGGGCTGGGCAATAAATCGAAAATGTATCGTTATCAAAATTTCTGACTCTTATCGAGAATTTTTCAATGTCGATAAATGTGATTAATAAAAAAAAATGAAAAGATGTGTGTAGGTTGGCAACGTTCAAGTCCCTTTAAGAAGCTGTACCACATTGAGTCACGTAAAAATGTGACTCAACTTAATACATGTGACAGCCCCATTCAGTTGACAACTTGTTTTCTGCGCATACCTGTAGTTATCGTCCATTTAGCGTTATCAAGGTGAAATCCTCAATCGTGATATTGATTTTAGGCCATATCGCCCAGCCCTACTAGGATCTCAATGTATTTTTCACAAAATTGTTACAATTTGAAACTCATTGAAAGGCTGTTGTATCTAAAGCACCTGTACCTGAATCTTTGTCAAGTAATTATTTGGTAAAATTTGAAATACTTATTGTTGTCATGCTTTCTCACTAAAGTGTCTCTAAAAGAGCAGACGGCACCCCCTCTGATGCATAAATACACAAGATCCTTAAAAGGCAGACATGGCACTTTGGGCATTTAGCACCCTGTGCAGGGCTGGACTGGGACAAAAATTCAGCCCGGGCATTTTGATTGGAGACCGGCCCATCACCTGGGTTTTTGGAAAAGACATTAAGCCTTACGCTGTTTCTGACACACACCAACGTACACTTTCTTATTGGTAATATTTATGTATCAATCTAATAAACGTAAACCTACACCATCCTTCCTATCCTGGTATTCTAAAAAAGTAGGGTTGGGGGCAAATGATTATTTTTAAAGTGATTATTCTGACGATTATTTTATCGAATAGTCAACTATTCTAATGACTATTTAGATGATTAATTTAGCGATTATTTTTCTATTGCACAATTAATAAAAACCAAAAAATCTCAAATAAATTCCTCCAAAAAATTGATAAGTTGTTACTGTAAGAGAATAAACACTACAGGCCTTCCATTTTGTATAACACTGCTTTTATTGTGTTGCGGTTGTTTATATTCTGGTGACGTGTAGATCATGCAGGCTGCTGCCTGAGAGGTGGTTGGAGACGGAGTGTCTCCATGCTGCTTTGTTTTGGTCACTTATGTGCATGAGGCAAGTGGTGTTACGACCCTTCCTGGGGAGTCAAGTGTAAAGGGTTAAATTTACCTAAATATTGCCTTATTTATTATCTCTTGATGTTATTAGTCCCTATTTCTGTGGTTAATTGACAATAGTTTCCTGAAATGTTTCTCCTATTTTAACTGTAAATCCTTCTAGCTGTTATATTTATAACAAGAAACAGATATTCGGACGGAATATTTTCATGTTTATTCGAATATGATTGTGGAACACACCCAGCATCATAATAAATGAAGTCATATTTATGCCAATTTAAGCCTTTATGGGTGACCAGGACTCTGTGATCAATTTTTGGCAAGGGAAATTATCTTTTTTTTGCCATTTTTGGGGTGTTTATGATGATACAGTAGACAGTATGAGTACAGTAACATCAACAGATAATACATAAAACCCTTATTTGGTCAATTTTAGCCTCCATGAAAATCTGAGCGATTCAATCACTTTTTGGCAAGTAAAATGCCATTTTAGTTGTCTACAATTAAATCATCAATAAAGAATTTAAAGACATTTTGAGGCGTTTCTTATAGGTAAACAGGAGGGTGTAGTCTCTATTTGGCAAGTGACAATCTTAATTGTATGTGCTGATGTGCTTTTATCTTGTTACTTTTAAATAGAGCAACGTAATGTATAGATAGTAACCTACACAGTGTCATTAAAGCCAAAGCTTGATCAGTTTAAATACTATTTTTCCAAGTAAAAATGTGCCCCAAACTAGTTAACCGTGGCTCCATGTCAAGTGGACTAAAGAAAGGAAGGGGAAAAAATTAAATCGCTGGAGAATTGTTTAATTCCATTTATACAACGTTTACATTCAATACATGGTGCCATTTTACATTGTTTATTTATTTTTTTAGTATCAAGGCTGTAACATAAAGAAAGCCAGTTCTTACCACAAACCATCTTTCAATCGCAAATATTGCAAAAAGGATTAATATATCCTCATTGTGAACGTTTAAGACAAATAGCAACACTTAAAACAACTTCCGAACTGGAAAAACTTATGTGGCAAGGTGAAGAAACAATGCCCGAGCGGGATTCGATCCCCAAACCTCTGGGGAGAGAGTCATACGCTCTAACCACTCAGCCAAAGGGACATCCCCTAGGCGAGTAGCCAGGGCGCAAGATCAATCGGGACATTTTGACAGGATGCTCACACTGTCACATCTTCCTCCCTCTTTCCACAAGTACGTCCTCGAGCGCCCGCGCAGGGTGCCACAAACACTGCCACACTAATATCCGCGATAAACATCTGTTTAAGTACCGGAAGAGGTTATCTTTGCTTTCTGAATGTCCATATTGCTAGATATGCCGAGTTTTAGGGCGAAATCCTGGGGAATTTTGTCTAGAAATGCAATTACCTAACCGTGCGCGATCCCGCGGTGGCTAATCATTTTTTGGCAGCGAGTCGATTAATGGCACAACACCGGCTCGGGTTTCTCCTCCTCCTCCCTCTTTTCTTCTCCAACCTGTCGCTGGGCTGAGGCTCCATCACTTCCTAAATTGATTTTACTTGAACCTTCACTACCAAACAACTGTGAGATTTTAACACATGTGCCAGCATCAGCCTGAAGGGCCAGTTTCTTTTTTAGTCGAATTTTCTCCGCTCCTGCTTTCCGTTTTTTGTTCTCCATTTTGTAAAGCTCGTCTGTCTGTTTACTGAGATTCACAAACAACTGGCGGGTGCATCAGACCTCTGGCTATTGGTCCAGCCCAGAGTGTATTGTTACCAATTGGCCAATCCACCAACTTTTACGAGGCGTCGCGTGGGGCGGCGCGGACAAGTTGTCAGCAACAACTAGAGGCCAGAAAAAAAAAAAAAAAAAAAAAAAACAGACACCGGCCCATAAAAGATGAAAGGGTCGGCCCAGCGGGCAATTGCCCCCTATGCCCTATGGTCAGTCCAGCAGTGACCCTGTGGTGTCCACTTCAGTAAAACCAAAAGCAAAACATTTTATGTTTGTTTTAATCTAACAGCGGAAATGTCTCCCCAGCCTTCATTAGTGTCTACAGGAGCAGTTCATCACTAAATCAGCTGTGTTAATGATCTAAAACATGCTGGAACCAGTCCAACAGACCAGACCAGCAACTCTGAAGTTGCAAGTGGAATACTTTGGCCCCGGGGGGGGGGGGGGGGAGTAGGGAAAGGATGGCCTTTCAATCACCCAGCAAAGGGTCATTTTAGCACATACTGGTTCAAGAAAATGATTTAAAAATATGAAAAAGTTAAAATATGGTTCCAGTCACAATATAGTAGCAAATGCATGAAACAACTACATTTACAACACACGTTTACACCTTTGAACAGCCAAGCTGCGCTTCCTGGCAGCACAACTTATGCCAGGGTGTATCACACAACATTACACACTTTTACTTAGTAAACACAGGATATTACAGTCGCTAATTATTTTTGTCAACTGCCAACACCATGTTTACACTTTGAGCACAAATGTCATTCTGTCAGTATGAATAAGTGTTAAGTCAACAGCAGGAGGGACTGCTTCACGCAAAAGATAAAAAATGAGGCCCTAATTAATGAGAAACCACATCAGGAGTCTTCAGAACTTATCAAAGTCAAGTGTCATATCTGGATTAAAAAAACAACCCCCAGCATGCTTCATGACGCTGTTTCTAATCTAGTTTCTGAGGAGTTGGGCCCCTCTGGGATAAGTGATGATGCAGCAGGCTCGGCGCCGAACCTGGTAGGAAGTAAACTCGTCTCCATTTCCACCTTATCCTTGCTGTGTGAGCTGCGGAGGCTGTTTGTTTCGGAAAACTCTACAGAGGGAAGCTAGTTGGTTCTGAAAAATTGAAACTGAAAAAGAAATATCAGTGACAATTCTCTCTGGCTGAACCGAAACTGTTCTCTGAACTCTCCCGACCCCGCTTCAGAGTTATGTGAATTTCCCGAGGCTATGCATCGATTGAAAAGTTTCAAATCTCTCTCATGCTGCTTAGGAGAATAATTTAAAAAAAGGAGGGGGACATTATCTTGCCCGTAGCCATCTGCATGACCTGTAACACAACACATCCAGGAGCAGGAGGAGGTCCAACCTCCACAAAAGCAACAGCAGTTTGAAAAACCAACTCACCATCAGCAGCTGCAGAGGCAGGAGCGCACAGGTTCCCTGAGCCCGTTTTAACTAAGAATGAATTGGGGCCAAACTCATCCTCAGAGTCAGAGTCCTGGGCTGGCTGAGCCGCACAGTTACCTAGCAACCTTCCCTGGTTCTCATTGGCTGCAATGGAAGGGGGAGGGTATGGGAGCTGCTCAACAGGGGAGGAGGAGGAGGATGAACAATGCAGCGGAGGACCTGTGGACCACAAACAGAGACAACACATGGGGGAAATGAAACACCCAAACACAAGCAACATCACAAGGAAACAAAACACACACACACACACACACATGCAAGACTCAACTCTGACACTTCAAAAACAAACAGGGACACATCTGCCTTTGTCTCCACCACCTCACCCCGGCTGGGAAGAACAATACAAACAACCCAAATGACTTTGAGAATGAACAGAGACGACGTACGCCTGGCGCTGCTTTAGAAAAGTAAAAACAACACAACACCTTCCTGGGATGTTCGTCGCAGGCAAAAACAGAGCCGATGTGTCAAAGTCAAATGAGAGAAAAAAAAGAAGGTAAGAGATGAACAAGCAGGTAAAGAGAAGTTAAACACTTGTAATGAAAATCCAACTTGAAACTTAGGAAAAAAATGTTTACTCGTCTTTTTTCGAGTCATGAAAACTACAGGTGGTGGGTATAAACTCACTGTGCAGCATGTACAACAACAATACTCTCGTTCATACCCCCTCCGGTGGAAATGCATCAAACCCCTGCCATTCAAGTAACGACTCCAGCAGGAACCGACCTTTCGTGTCTCTTCTGTACTTCTTCTCCTTCTCAGTTAAAAACCCAACACTGACCATGCAATTTAAAAGCAGATTATTAGTAATTTACAATCATCATCAGTTGCTCCTTTACGCCAACATATAGCCCTAATTTTCACCCTTTCAGGGCTTACTGGCTTCAGTCTCCTGCTGATGGTGAACGTTAAATCTCCTATTAATGCGTGATTAACTTGTGATGCAGCTCTGCAGCACGCTGGAAATGATTCTACTTAAGTAACACCACCGCAGCGCACAAAACCATTAGTTTGGCGCTCTCCTACATCTTCCCGTCAGTCCTTCGCTCTTGATGGTGAAATTCCTGCTGACCTGACTGTCATTCATCAGAAGTGATGAATTTCCTCTCCTCCTGTAACGATCCCTGAAGAGTATTAAAACACGACTCACTGACTCGCATCTAATTAGGCAGCAATTAGTGATATTACCATATCAGCCGGAGCCCTACACAAGCGGCAACTGTCCACTGCTGCACAGAGTCACAGTTTGTGCTTTGTGTAAACTTCACACCAGACACTTCAATTCTCTCTGTGTGGCTAATGTTCATGCATTAATGAATGCAGACACCCAGTGGCCCTGCTGAGGGTTAATGGCCGTCACACCACTGTTGTTGAACGTAAAGTAATGCATAACCAAGGGTGGAGCATCTCTTAAAGGGAACACTGGATAATTTTAGCTCGCTTTAACACCCCCTAGTGTCCGTTTTACATCACTGTCGTGAAACTGAACTGTTTTCCTCTCCTCCTCGCCGTGCACTCGTGTTTTCACCCCGACCCACCACGTAATAAAAGTATACGTTTTTAACGGCTTGTATCTGTATGGGGCATTCTGGTGTTCTAGAACCCCCCCACCCCCCCAACCCCGCAAAGTAATTTCACAACACATCCAGTCTTTCACTCGTACACACACACATTCGCACACTGATGGTGATGAGCCATAACGTAGCCACAGCTGCCCTGGGGCACAGTGACGAAAGCGAGGCTTCCGAACACTCGTGTCACTGGTCCCTCCAGCCACAGACCATGGATGGGTTCCAATTCACCCCAGTGCATTTATTTCTACGGAGGAAGGTGTTTACTAACTAAAAATGCATTTTATTATGCTTTTTAAACAAAATCCCAACAGGTAGCCTAGAATAGTCAATAGTAATCCCACGTGATCTGTTTGCAAAGGGGTGCTAAAACTTGAGCTGTTTTCTGTTGCTTTAAGAGACCCAAAATAAGACAGAAATCATGAAAGACAAAGAAGAGCTGTGTCCAGGAGGGAAATTATAACCTGTTCATCTTCTCAAAGAGAGAATTCATTAATGAGACAAAAAAGATTAAAGTCCACTAAAAATGGTCAAAGTCATAAACTAAATTAGGTCAAGGTAGTTATGTCCAGCAGCCATTAGTCTCACACACAAAGGTTTCACTGTCTCGGAGTTTAATTAATGCTGCCAGGGGCTGTTCACGCCCAAGCCACGTGCACCATAGAGCCACACACAATTCCTGTGCAGGCAAGGGGCTACAGCTACAGATAGGTGGAGAAGTTCCTCAAGCTGCCAGAGCTGATTTACTTAGCTTTCGCTCACTACAGCAGCAAAATAGGAACCTTTACTTAAAAGCTTGTGGGCCGTGCTGGGCGTTTTCTTTTTTGGGGGGGGGGGGGACTTACTTACCAGTTTGGCTTGAGAGCAAACACAGTTCTCCTCCTACTGTGTTTAGGGCTTAATCAGCTCATTAGGCACTCGACTGAATCAACACGTGAATAAATACGTGACAGGCAAATAAGCATGTACTAATGATCTAGAAACATTTAGTGTTTGTTTTTCATCTGCAGACAATTTGGATATTTAATGATGTATTGTGATATCACAGGAGAGCACTATAATCTCAGTAATTGAACTTCTTTACATTTCTTCATCGTTTACGTTTTGATTGCTTTATTGCGCCTTTTACTTGCAAAGCTAAACGATTCTGGAAAGTAATCCAATTGCTATTCTCTTCAATATTGCAATTGCGATTTAATTGACGATTATTTTCTCAAGGGGCTTTTCTCACATTTTTCAACTAACGGAAGCAAAACAAAACTATATATATATATATATATATATATATATATATACACACACACACACACACACAGTGCTGATTGGCTGACTCAGTTAGAATTCTCGGGGGGGGGGGGGGGGGGGGGGGGGGGGGGGTATTTGCATGGGAGAGTTACCAGACTTCTCTGTGCAGAATTAAACAGAGGACTAGTCTGGCAAGCCAGGCTAGGAAAGAAGTGTGTCCCGTTTATAAAAGTTTTTTGTGTTTAGAGTTTTTGACGTCTTGTCCACGCAGAGCTTCCGTAGTTCAGTTGCAGCCATAGCTGCTAGCCAAAACTCAGTGGAGTTAAAGTCTCTTATGGTTTTCTAGCTTTACTAAAACATCTGTATTTATTTGATTAATGGCAGTTTTCACTTTTTATTAGACTCCAAATGTAATCATTTGGCACATTCCTAATTCATAATTTGTAAGAATGTAATTGGCAATATTAACATTAGCATCCCTAGGGGTTTTTCCATGTATATTAGCATTGTGCTAACCACTCGCTGCCTTTACGATTAGAAAATCTCCTTTTGTCACATCACAATTTAATTGCATTTGCAATCAACCATTCAGCCCTAACTAAATTACATTTTGTGAATCAAGTGTGGGCAGGGAATTGTACACAGACACACCTTTCCTTCTGCTCATATCAGAAAAAAAAAGCTTTGAAGCAGAAAATGAAAATATTTGTATAATTTAGGAAGTTTTAGTGCCACTTCTAAAGATTCCAAAATATAATAAATATGTTTTTTTTTTTGCTTATTCAGTCCTGATCTGGGGAACAAACAGTTCAACATCCTGTTAAAAAAATTGGAAAGATGTTAATCTGCTATAATTTATTTATTTATTTGAGCACTTTAACATAGCAAAAATATAGCCTAACCATTCCAACATATTCTTGTATGGCTACTTTTGTTTTGAACCAATTTCTTAATTGTTCTCAACTGTTTTATGAATATATAAACTTCTAATCCAAATCTATAAAATTGCATGTTTCCTAAACAGATAAAAAACAAAATTAGAATACGTTCAGTCTAGATATCCAACTGAGGCAAATTACTATAATCACCAGGAAAAATAAACTTAGTGTAACATATCTGATTATTTTCAGAACATTTGTTACTAATTGTGTTTCCTTGACTTCTGCTCTCACTGATTATGTATATATTTTATTTTAGTTTTTCAGTCATGTTTGTTCATTAGTTCAGACCTGTGGTTGTCTTTACTTCATGTCTGTAGAGGGGTTTGTGCTTGGAGGGTGTGTGTGTGTGTGTGTGTGTGTGGTAATCATTGACTATATACAGTATACTGAGGTTGTAATGCTGCCTGTGTCTGTGATCTCTGATCTGCTGTTTAGTTCATTCTTGATTTGAAATAATGGAGGACCCTCTTGTTTCATCTCAAGGGGTTAATCCTCCTTATAAAGATATGTTAATGAATAAAGAAATATCTAGTAAAGTGAATTTGATGAGCTGAAACTATCGTTGTGATTCCTTTCTACTAATTTAAACAATGCACATTTACAGCACACCAAATCAAACATAATGATTTACAGAAAGTCCTTTATTACAGCAGTTGATGCAAACGGCCCGTGGGAAAGCTCACATGTGGCTGCAGTTCGATTCAGACCAGTCGGATCAATTCTGGCTGTTTCGCTTCACTTCTAATATGCTGTTTGTTCTGTTTCTATCTGAAAGGTCAGAAAATACATTTGTAGTCATTTAAAATATTTCATTTTCATAGTCGCATTCAGTATAGTGCAAAAGTTTTAAACCACCTCTGATATCTTCATCGTTTGCTTTGAATCAACAAAACCTTGTTGTAATTTTATTTTAGGTGAAGCTGATCATTTTACCTTTCTGGATGTTTTATTAAGACTTGGCAGCTTTTTCACTCATTTTCTATCCAATTTTTGCACCAAACATATTCTACGATGTGCTTGAATGAAAAAATATGTACAGCAGATGAACAGAATCTGAAATTTAAATATTTTAAGAAGTAGAAAAAATATTGCAAAGGCCGAAAACAGGACATGAGAATATACCAGCTAATTATTTAGTGAATGCCAAGTAACAGCTAGTCAGCAATCACCTTGCTGGTGCTAAAATATCATTTTTCTCTCTGCCGGGTTGCTCTTTTCTGTTTTTAAAGAAAATAAGGACCAAATGATCCAATTCAAGGGTAGTCTGATATGTTTCATGACAGCTTTGGCTCATTCCTTGAGTTTATGAGGTTTTGTTAATGCCTGAATGACTCCGATCAAAGGTTAGTAACATTCTTAAAGTCTAAAGATTATTTTAAATGAGTACATTTATATGTCTAGT